ATTCCTCATTTTAATGCAGTGGTAACTGCATGCTTTTTTCGTGTAAAAGCTACAATATAATGACTTTTTCTCATAATATTATGACTTTAATCTCCTAATATTACGACTTTAAACTCGTAATATTACGACTTTAATCTCGTAATATTACTACTTTAATCTCGTAATATTACTACTTTAATCTCGTAATATTACTACTTTAATCTCGTAATATTACGAGATTAAAGTAGTAATATTACGAGATTAAAGTAGTAATATTACGAGATTAAAGTAGTAATATTACGAGATTAAAGTCGTAATATTACTACTTTAATTTCGTAATTTTACGACTTTATTCTCATAAATTTACAACTTTATTCTCGTAATATTATGAGTTTATTCTCTTAAAATTATGACTTTAATCTCGTAATAATAATAAAAAAATCTCGTATGGCCCTAATACACCGTCATAAAGCAGTCATGTCAAATATGAACAGATAATTAGCTGTGAAAGTGTGTACACAGAGAGAAACCTGTAAAACCTGAGTTTAATTGGATTATAGTCTTGTTGCAGTTCTTTATACATGCAGTAAGAAATAAGAAAATTTGTTGGGGGTGTTTTCTGTAAAGTTCAAGATAACATATTTAATGTTTCCCACTGTCTGATGTCTGTGTTGTATCCAATCTGGAGCCAGTGTGTATCTTGGAGTTGTATGACTGCAACACTTCTGGAGGGCTCCTTCTTTATATTTTAATATTTTCTCCCCCTCTGACTCTTCTTTGGTTTCTGTGTTTCCTGCTCTCATCATTGTGAAGACTCAGGCAGATTTACGCAGCCCATGGCTCTGAAACGGGGTTTTTTTTTGTGCATGCAGTCAGGCTAATTGGATGTAAGCAGGTGGACTCTGTTTGCTTCAGGAAACACATTTTCTGACTTGTGTGTCACTAATCGTTCATTTCTGCTGCTGGGATTCTATGAATTTTGTGTCTGACTTTCAGTTTAACTCTTGATTATATTGATTTTCACTTTTTATTGCTTCTAATGCTAATCAGCTTGAAAAATAATCTCACACTAAAGTGATTTCACACAAGAGCAATTCTCTGAACATGTACTGTAAACATTCAATATTCCTCTTTCATCTTGTTTTCAGATGCGTTTAATAGAAATTTGATCTTTGTCACAGGAGGAACGATCCACATGGTGTGCAGGAACAGGGACAAGGCTGAGGAGGCGAGGGCGGATATCGTCAAAGAGACGGGAAATAAAGTACAGTGCGCCTTGCTCTGTTCAGACAGAAATGTTGACACAGCCAACCTTCAGATCGACTCTTGATCTTTAGATGTGATATTTCCCGTGACTATAAATGACTAAATAAATAATGAATGTGATTTCAGGAGATCTACGTCCACATCCTGGATTTATCTGAGACTAAGAAGGTCTGGGAGTTTGCTGAGAACTTCAAGAAGAAGTTTAAGACCCTCAATGTGCTGGTAAGAAAGTCGGAAGACCTTGTGCTGACGTTTGGTTCAGTAAAGAGTTCACTCTGCTCCAATGAGACGATGTTTTCTCACAGTGTTGAAAGTCGAGGAGAATCTGCGAGGTAGAAATGCTGATAAGTCCTCACACTGGTCACAAACAGAATCATCACAAACAGCACGGTCGTCTGGATGCTCATTTTCAGTCGATGATGTAAGAGTTCAGTCTGGGCTCTCTTTTAGATCAGGGGTGACACACTCATTTTCACCGAGGGCCACTTGAGTGTTGTGGTGGCCCTCGAAGGGCCAGTTGTTATTAACTTTCATGTTTAACTTTGACCAAACAGTGTTTTAACAAAGTGTATGACTGACTAAATCTGAAATAAATACAGAAATAATATTAAAATTAAAACAGAATTTTACTCARGAGTTTCTAGTGAGTAGCTGCCATCTTGAATTCTTAAGTCTCCCACTTTTAGACAGGGAATTCTCATGGATGGTCAACTTGCATTATGGGAGATATGGTGGATGCTGACTTTAAAGCAGCTTATTTTGAGACAATACTGTACTATCCAACTAAATTGCTCAGTTACTTAAAGTCAACAGCTCTGAGGCAGGACAAATAGTTATCTTTCACCTTTTAAATTTGTTTATTTTGTTGCATTCAATCATAAATTTAAAGTTTACCGTCAATAAGAAACCATTTTCATATTAAGTAAAAAAATAAAAAGGCCCATGAGAGGCGGGAGTCACCTGCGGGCCACATTTGGCCAGCGGACCTTGAGTTTGACACGTATCTTAGAGATAGGGTGAGAAGCTCGGTCATCCGGGAGGGACTCAGAGCAGAGCCGCTGCTCCTCCCATGTCGAGAGGAGCCAGTTGAGGTGGTTCATCTGGTCAGGATGCCTCCCTGGTGAGGTGTTCTGGGCATGTCCCACTGGGAGGAGACCCAGAGGAAGACCCAGGACACACTGGAGGGACTATGTTTCTCAGCTGATCTGGGAACTCCTTGGGATTCCCCCAGAGGAGCTGGTCCAAGTGGCTGGGGAGAGGGAAGTCTGGGTCTCTCTGCTTAGGCTGCTGCCCCCAAGACACGACCCCGGATAAGTAGAAGAAAAGTGGATGGATGAAAGAGTTGTAAAAGAAAGTTCTGATATTTCTGTTAACCAAGGAAATGTGCTATTTTTGTTACGGATCGTGTTTTGAGCTCTGAATGAATACCGAACAATGTCAAAGTTTTAACAAGTTTATTGTTAGAAAGTTTGGCTGGAAGGCTGGGACCGGAACCCGGGGTCGTCAGTTCTGGACACAGAATATCAAGGTTAGGTTGGGTCAGGAACACGATATAATTTGTGAGAATAAAAGACCACCAACCTTTCTTGCTGAAATGAGGACCGGGTAGAAACAACAGCAGAAGTGCTTTGGTTCCGGGCTGTGTTGTCGGGAGGAGCAAGTGGATCGCTGGACTTACTCGTGGTCAGAAACAGGGCAAGGGTCATGCACAGGTGGTCAGAGGTAGTTACCAAGTTTGAGGGAAATGACTGAGCCGATGATCCAGAGAAGCGTTCCGAGGTCGAGATCCGAGAGGTCCGATGTGGTGTGGTGCCGTTCAGGGAGCAGGCGAGAGACAAAAATCCAAAGGACAGAAAAAAGGTTGTTACCGTGAGAGCAGAAGGCAGGAGGTAGTGATGGGCAGTTTGAAGCTGAAGCTTCGGCGCATGTATTGAAAAAAACAACAACACACTGTTTCAGAAGCACTGTGTCGGAGCTTGATTCGTTTGGTAAAAGTCATGTGATCAGTGA